GAGAGAGAGAGAGAGAGAGAGAGAGAGAGAGAGAGAGAGAGAGAGAAGGAGAGAGTTGAGGTCGATGGACGCGGATTTGTTGTTTCTTTGTCTCTTCCCCCTCTTCATCTGTGTATATACATTTTGATTGCGGCTCCGGGCGGTTCGCTCGTTCTTATTTTCGTTTCGGCTTTCTGAAATCTGGGCTTGGATTTTTGCTCACACTTGTCCTTGCGATGTCCGTCCTAATTGCATTGTGTGTATGATTGTCAAATGTATGGATGTGTGGATGTTATGCATGCTTGTCTATCTTTGTGCTAAGAATCCTTGTCCTTGCTTTATGTTTGTGTCGAATCTTTGCCCACACCTAATGCCGCTGTAGAGAGGATAAGAATCTGGCCCCGATAGCGATTTTATTCTCGCTTTTGCTTATCTCACGATGGGGTTGTGATATGGTCGCATCTTGCATAATCCGAAGCAATTAGACGATCCGAAGTCTGGCCCCGCGAACGCCGCGCGAGAACACGTGTAAACGCGATCCAAGTCGCGCCCTTACACGCATTCCCGTACGTCGATTCGCCCACCCAAAAATGTTCGCGGCGGAACCATCATCCCGTACGAGCATGCCGAGGCGCCATTGAGCCTGCCTGTCCTGCACGTGCTCGTGCGCGGTGATGATAACCCGACCCGAGCCATCCCATCAACGATGATACCATGACGCGATCTTGGAGCTCAGACTCATCCTACGACCCGGACTATTTCACCCCTTAGATAAACGAGCTCATAAGGACGCGATACCCCTTTCACACGGAGAATCGACTATGTCCGCGGGAATTCCACTGCGCCACCTCTAGCGACCCTCGGTGCTCTAATTTCCCTTCCCCCGACCACACTTACTACTTCACCCACCCGGGATTTGTTGTCATCACCACCAGTTTCCCTCCTTTCCGCCTTCTTCTCCCGTATCACCAACTCAGTGTCGTTCCGTGGCCGACCATAGCCCCCTATTGGCCCAATAAGTTTTGTGTGAATTGCCGACGTAGCGGCGAACAGAGAACTCCAGAATTCCGAAGGCCCAATCCAAGTACGCAGCGGCCTGTGCCACATGGCGGCCCCTGACGGCCTAACTGTTTAGGTCCGCCTCCACCACGGAGGGATTTCCCCGTAAACCGTCGCCCACAATGCCCGGGCCCCATCGGGCCTTGAGTCCCTTGCACACGCACCCCTCATTCGCTTAATTGCATTCATACCCTTAAGACTCCCCCACTTTCCCCAAAAATCGTTGGCACCTCTTTTCGCACTTCCAGGCCCACACCCCACTCCGATCAGGAAGTCGCGCTGGGCGTGAGGTTGGGCGTCACAGGCCAGTTTCGACAAGTTTTAGCCTAGTCCCAAACTTTTAGGAGCTGCCGTTGATAAATCTGATCGGCGGCCGTTGTTTCGTTTTGGCATCCTGAAAGGTCGGAGGCCCACTATTTTCCGAACCGACAAAGGTACTAGTGGGAAGAGATAATTGTTACTGCGGACAACCTTTTGGGCTTTGGCCCGTGATGTAGTGTATATTTCGATGCTGTAGCGGAAGATTCATTCGATTTTGCTCATCCTATCGATGGAAGTAGCGTGATGCCAATCGCGGGGTTGGAGACTTACCTGTTGGCCGCTGTGTCGCTCATCCTATCGATGGAAGTAGCATGATGCCAATCGCGGGGTTGGAAACTTACCTGTTGGCCGGTGCGTTGTTCATCCTATCGATGGAAAACTCTCTCTCTCTCTCTCTCTCTCTCTCTCTCTCTCTC